ACAGCGTCCCAAACCACTTCTGGCCTCTCTAGAGAATTTGAAGTCAGTAGTGTCACAAACAATTTCCTAAATGAATGAGAAGATGCCCAGTCACTTGACTCATTGATTGCATCAATATATTCTCTATCATCGCTTGACTCATTGATCACATCAATATATTCTCTATCATCGTCATAGGCATCTCAATAGGAATCATACTAGACACCGTTTACAATTTTAATATCTTCATAACATGTTGCACCATGAACTATATATATTCAAAAGACATCTAAAATAATATATATATCTCCCCACTCCCTGGAGGTACATAAAATATTCACTCAATATCCTCTTTGTCTAGGATGCCGTTCGCGTAATTTTTTTTAACACAAATTTATTCGGCATCTCCACATAAGTTAACACTCTCGCCTTTGGATACTTTTTATTTGCTTCAAACCAAGGAACATAATATTATTACTATAACCAACAGTGGTTCTGTTTAAAACAACATCAATTCGACCTTCATCATCATAAAAAATACGTAGTAATAGATTATTGTTGGTCCGGTAGATGAAAGCTCAAGCTTTCAACAACTAGCATTCAATACTGTATTTCAAAATCAAAAATGACGCCATGAATTGAAGCCTCACAATGAGATATGTATTGCTAATCATAGTAAATGTTGATCTCATCAATGTTTTTACCAGTTTCCTCATCAATTGTGCTCTTGTAAAACACAACTGGAACTCTATTGATTGTGATTGATTACACCACTCTATATTAATGTGAGCTCTATACTTCAACAACAAATAACGATTGTGAGGAATTGAACCACGTATCTATTATCGAGGTCAATGTCACATTTGCTCACAATTCGACTATCTTCTCAACACCTATACACACGGTAACCATCTTCATCAAAGCATGACACATCAACAAACTTCTTTGAAAAATACTTTATACAATGACCATTCATCATACATGGGGATTTCTTTCTTGCTTCACCACATGGGCCATGTATCATAAACTCCTCAAAAACATTATAATATGAAGGATCTAAAATTTTGTCCGGAATTTCAGCAAATATTATTCGATCAATCTCTTCTATAATAGTACCCTGTCACTTTTCTCAAGGAACAACAATATATGAGCATGAGGCCATCCATGCTTTTGAAATTCCACCGTATAGATAACTGCAAAAGAAATTCAAACCAATGTATGGACAATCCCAAGCAAGTTAAAGTAGGAATAGATAAATATGTGAAACCAAAGTTCGTATGTAACGATAATGATTATTATAAAAAATATAAATTATACATGCATATTTTTTCATTTGAACAAATAAGAAATCATTGTTGGAAAATTTAGCTAAAAATAACATTCAAAGTGGTCATTTTGAGGCAATATTTTGAGTGGAGTCCACTTCTAATTTAGGTTGGGTCAGAGTAGATTTGGATTCTCTTAGTTGAGATGATGAATTTCATATAAGTATACACTCAAAATAGATAATAGGTAAATGAGAAATTGATTCTCCAAGTATGTCCATTAAATTAGTAAAATGGAGTTTTGAAAGGCTTTTAAAGAGTCTTTGTTATACATTAAAAAAGTATGTGGGGTTGAACTACTATAAGAGTTAATACCCAAAATATATGGTTCTCGACTATAGTGGTTTTTCTCAATTTCGTCCAAAACGACTTTTGTGTTTTCACCCAACTTAGTCCTCCGTTTGTTATTCTGTCAAATTGGTGTTAAATAAAGGGGTTTATATTCGTAGGTTTGGGAGTAATTCGTAAAAAAAAGAGGGATTTCGCACTTCGCCGGTCTAGGAGTAAAGAGATGTCAATATTGAAATTACTGAATTGTCTATCTATTTAACACCAAATGCACGGAACACCAAACAGATGACTAAATTGAGAAAAAACACAAAAGCCTGAAACTAAATTGAGCAAAAACATAAAAGTTTGGGACTACGTTAGGTCACCAAAGTCGTTTAGCACGAAGTTGAGAAAAATCATTATAGTCGAGACTCGAGAATCATTTTAGGTATTAACTCACTAGTATAAATAAATTTCAACTTTTTAAAAAGTCTGAAATATGTTGGTAGAAGACTCCTTAAAATTGATAGCATAAACAAGTTAAGTTCTTTTATATGTTATAAATATATAAAATAAAATCATGGCCCAAACATATAATATTCTGACCATTTAAATTATACAATTAACAAAACCATCAATTTTTGACAAATTAATTGGTCCAATTGTATATGCGGTTGTCATACTGTGGACCATGGTCCGAAAACAGCGCCGTTTCTTTAAGTAAAGAAACGTCAGCCGTTAAATTTTAACAAATCCCGTATTTTTTGTGTGTTCAGAACAAAATGAAACTACAGTGTATCTAAAATGAAATTGTGTCGCATATTGTGCTTATATTATCAAATGAAACTGTAATTAAATTAAAATGATACTTTAGTTGTGTTAAAATAAAATGCAGTATGTATAAAATGAAACTGAATAACATGTCTCACATATTGAGTGTATATTGTCAAATAAAACTTTAGTTGAATTGAAATGATACTTTAGCTTTGCTGAAATGAAACTACAGTATGTATAAAAAGAAACTGAATAACATGTCTCACATATTGAGTGTATATTATCAAATGAAATTGTAGTTATATCGAAATGATACTTTAGTTGTGTTGTAATGAAACTACAGTGTATATAAAATGAAAATGAATAACAGTTTCACATATTTGAGTGCATATTGTCCAATGAAGCCATAGTTGAATTAGAATACTAATTTAGTGGTGTTGTGATAAGATTATGGTGTGTATAAAATGAAATTCAATAACAGGTCTCACTGTAATAAGACTACTATATGTATAATAATGTCAAATGAAACTGTAATTGAAACAAAATTAAACTCTAGTTGTGTTGAGATGAAACTGCAATGTATATAAAATAAAACTGAATATGTTAGAAAATCAAAAGAAATTACGCGGAACGGGTGTCGTTTCTTTTCATTAAAGGAAACGGCACCGTTTTGGACAATGGTCCACAGTAAAATTTGCCACTGTATATGACTCAATCCATTTAATGGACCTCAAAATGTTAAAATCCACACCGTTTCATCGCTTTTCACCAATCTTCTTCCAGTTTTACTAAGATTTCAATCGGAATTGATTACTGTTCACCACAATTTCTTCTCACCTATTTCTTCAATTTTCGCTAAGATCTTGATTCAATTTCTCATCATTGTTCACCTTCCTTATATGTGATTCTACTCTGTTTGACTTGTTACTTTTAGTGTTGCACATGTATAGAAAGCAATCCAAAGATCTATAAATGATTTTGACCATTTCTGGCAAGTGAATTGGTTTCCTCCGAGGGCGATTGAATTTCTCTTCATTGTTCATCTTCTTTTAAGGTAATTTAACTATAGCTATTTCGTTTGCATTCTTGTACGAATGTAAAGAGAAAACACAAAATCAGTAAGGATTTTTTACTACAACGCTCTGCTACCCACTCCGCCAAGCTCTAACCATACCTCTAGGGTTACAAGCAAAATATTTGTATGCAACCCTAAAATTGTACATGTACAAAATTACCCACGTACTGTATCGGGTGTTGCCCTCGCAACCCTAACCCGCTTTTAATACCCACTTTTCTTCGTTCTATCCAACACCTATCATCTTCTCCATAACGCGATTTCTAGCATTTCAAGCAATTGAACTTGTTTCCTCCAACGAAGACTAACTTTTTCTGTCATTGTTTACCCTTCCTTCTAGGTAATTATACTCTAATCTTTAAGGAATTTTACAATTTCAAGCAAGTGAACCCATTTTTTTTAATTATGAAATTTCGATTTATCATCACTGCTCACATTGTTTTTAGATAATTATATTCTATTTAACTTTTCACTACTTGTCTTATACAGGTATAGATCGATAACAAACTATAAATCTACAAGTGATTTCTATTATTTCAGCAAGTGAACTCATTCACTCCAGGGAACACCGAATTTCTAATTATCAATACATACCATTAAGGTAATTCTAATCTATTTCACTCACATTACTTTGTCTTACATAGGTGAAGAGAGCAAATTCTAGATATATAAGTGATTTGTACCATTTTAGAAAGTCTATTATCCTTTAATTTGTTACAATAACAGAAAGCAATTTAATCTAATGTGTTATATATTATACTTCTTTGAATGTTTAACTATATATATGATCTTATATTAATAAAAATGCTTGTGATGAAAATATGCATGTTATTTATGGTTGAATTTTGTTTAGTGTTGTTCAACTAGTGGGTACAATGGGCACTGTCATTGTGCTTGGGCTGGGTAGAAAATGAAGATATTATAATGAAAAGGGAAAAAAACATTATAGAAGTCTTTGAGAACTTTAATTTGCTTATTTTATTTGGATGAGAATAGAAAAAAGAAACTGTATGAAGATATTTTGAGGAGAAAATGCGCTTAGGAATTTGGATAAAACAACCCAATCCTATGGTTAATTGAAGATTCTTTCCTTCAAAAATTGAGAAGAAAGTCAGGGAAAATGATGATAAATAATATGAGAATAATAACATAAGGATAAAAGAAGTTATCCACTTATTTTCTTAAATATTGTTTTCATAAATTTTAAATTCAAAATTTTGTTTTTATTATTAATACAGGATACAGATATAACATCTAAATATACAAAAAATTTCATTAACAATAAATTTAATATATAAAAATTGAATTGTAAACATATAACTCGAATTTGAACTGAATAAATAAAATAAGATTGATAAATTATTTTTCACTAGTTCCTATCCTATCTCTATGTTCCTTTTCTTATATTTTCTCTTCCATTGTCTTCCCACATATGTTTTACCCATATAAACAACTAGTCCTGTTGTATTAGGGACATAGAATTACCTAAAATTTCTAGTTTCCATGTTTATTGTAGAGGTATATATAACAATGTTTATGTTTCAACACATTTTTTTTTTTGTTTGGCTTTGTAGAACATGGCACAACTTGAACCAGGTCCCATTTGCAATTCTGTTCTTAACCGACAACAGCTTCATAGATCTACTCGAGTTTGGGAAGGATCTCGTCGAATAAATAAATCCTTAAAGTGTTGCAGATATGATAGTTCATTTTGGAGTTCAAAAAACGAATTTGATGATAGGGTTATGAAGTACATTCAACTGGCAGGTTTTGATGGGTTGTCGAGATTGGAAAGGATACATTTGGATTGGTCTTTGATCACTGCAATGGTGGAGAGATGGCGCCCAGAAACTCATTGTTTCCAACTTCCATTTGGGGAAGTCACCATCACATTGCGAGATGTGGAGATTCTTTTAGGACTGCGCATTGATGGCATGCCAGTGACAACTGTCCAAATGAGAACAAAAGATGAATGGTCTGACATATGTCATGACCTCCTCGGCATTAGGCCTAACAGTAACTCAATTTCCGGCACCTCTCGTTTGGTAATGACATGTCTAAAGAACCCAACACCATTAACAGAGCATTCAACTGATGAAGACGTGCAACGCATGGCCCGACTACGTATTATGCAATTACTAGGTGGAACGTTATTTCCTGACAAGTCAAACAACATGGTGAGACTATGTTTCTTAGACCACATCAGAGATTTGCAAAGTGCCAACAACTACAGTTGGGGAAGTGCTGTTCTTGCTTTTTTGTATCGAAGCATGTGCAGGGCAGCCATGGATAATGCTACTCAAATTAGCGGTGCCCTCATTCTTCTTCAATTGTGGGTTTGGGAGCATATCACCTTATTCTCTCCGAACATACACTCCCTCCCTCAGGACCTAATAGATCGACCTAGAGCTGCTAGGTATATATGTATACTAATTTATTTCAAAATTATACTATTCCAAGACCATGTGTTAAAAAAAGTGGTCTAATAGGTACTGCTCATCAAAAAGGCAGGAACATAAAATTTTTAAAAAATAAAACAATTATATTAATTTATTTCAAAATTATACTAATCCAAAACCATGTTTCTACTTTCTGACAGGTAAAATTATTAGTCACTACACTCACTAGTAGAGTAGTAGGACCATATTTAATTTTCAAGGCAAAGCCATTGTACCATTAGTTGAGGCAAACTAACCACTACTTACTATGCTATTTGTAGGTGGTGTACTTCTAAAGAATTTGGCGATGTAGCCAGTCATGTATTAAAAGTTTACAGGGATCAACTTGACAATATGAAAGAGGACAGTCATGTATGTACCAAGATACTTATATTCTAATACACACAGTACTGAAACATGCAAACCACTTAATGTATTAATAATTCAATTGCATTTTCGAGTGCAGTTTAAATGGAGACCATATGAAAACGAGTTGGATGAGTTACCAGATTATTGCAAAGCAGGGAAGCACATCTGGATGACGAAGTCTCCTCTGATCATGTATGAGATTGTAGAGTGGCACTTACCGGACAGAGTTCTCCGCCAGTTTGGGAAGTTCAAGCAGCCACCCCCGGCCAACTTCGACACCGGAGTAGACTTGCACAAGATTGATGGGAGAGGGAAAAGGGGCACAGACTGGAGCACTAGGCACATGAAATACTTGTTTGAATGGGAAAGCCGAGAAGAAAATGTTGTGAATGCGGTGGCTGATGATGATAATGACCAAACGTGGTTAGAAGAATATGAGAGATGGTATAGCTTGATTGCACGTCGTGTCATTACCAACCCAGTCCACCGTCCTGAAAGAGGATTCATGCCTTTAGCGTCAAAGCTAGAACACTTGGTAAGTTAATACTAACATAATAATAATAATAAATTTGGCAAATCAGAATTCAATATATTGATTCTGAAGATATATTATTAGTCCAAGAAAAATTTAATTTGTTTGATCAATATATGCATGCAGGTGAGGGTTACGCATAAGATAAGTGGGATGGCCAGAGAGGGTTTGGAGAAAGCTGGAAATGCAGGTGAAGGCTATGCTGCCATTGAGGAAGCGTGTGTTAAAGCTTTGACCCTCATAGGGGAAGACAGGAGAGTTGAAACTCAACCCGATGACATCCTGCCACAGGGTGATGGTGGCAGTGATGATGATAATGATGGTGGTGCTCCGCCAAGGCGTGAGGCTCGCCGTGAGCGGCGCAGAGAGCCGGGAAACGACCCCCGGCCTAGAAGAGGTGGGAGGAGGAAGAAGGTTAGGGTGGATGAAGGTGAAGGTGCACCTCAGAATTGAGTTAGTAATAAATATTATATTGTGACCATAGCTTCTTAGCTTGTCTGTCTCTGATCTTCTTGTTTTGCTGATGAGGAAACACCAAAAACAATTATTGTTACTGACTTACAGGAATGAATGGTGTACTATAACATGTTTCTTTTGTGGCTGCAAATTGCTGGGTTTTTTCTAATGGCACTTGAATAGGGAAAAATGGAGGCTATATGGGAGAATTATATATGTTCACTTAAAACTTCAGTATCATTGAGGAGAATGGAAACGAATTCTGTCATGTTCTTGAGGTTAAATTTCAATTTTTTTTAGTTGTATGACATACTGGTCTGATCTGATCTACTCAAATTTTTTTAGTGTACAATCAACCTGCTCACCTTCTCCAATCAATAGACTTTTTCAATTATATAGATTACAAATTCCACATAAGACTTCTATCAAACACATGGTGGGATTGCTAATCAATAACAAAGAAAAAACAGAGAAAATTGGAGCAAATTAATCTGAACCTTCATAAACTGAAAAGAAAGTAATTTCTGATCCAACCAATAGTTCATTAAAATTAATGAGTGAAGGGGTTGGGATTAAAGAAATGAATTGAAGAAATAACCTGATATTGTTTGCGGCGTTATTGCGCACTTGTGTCGACTCCACACCCTTCTACTACTCTTCTTTCACTCTCCTTATGATGCAAGCAAAGGAAGAACAGAATTTTAGGGTGAAAAGACTAAAAAGAGATGTAAACACTTGTATGAGTTGTCTACGGGTCATATGTATACAAATAAAATTAAGGAATAAGGGTCAAATAGGCCACTGAACTGCACACCAAAAGTACAATCGTTATGCTATGGACCCGTGTCCAGCATGTATTGTGGACACGGTAACGGTGCCGTTAGTGGCACCGTTATCTTCCACAATTTTTTTTTTTTTAAATTTCAGATCGTTTCGTTATAGGAGTATATGTTCATAATTCCATAACTGTACATTCATACTTCAATAACTGTACATTCATAATTCCGTAACTGTACATTCATAATTCAATAATTGTAAATTCATAATTTTCGAAGCTCTATGTTCACATTTTTAGAGCTCTATGTTCATAATTTTATCACTATATGTTCATATTGTAAGTTCATAATGTCAGAACTCTGTGTTCATAATTCCATAACTGTACATTCATAATTCTACAACTGTACATTCATAATTCCCTAACTATACATTCATAATTTTCAAAACTCTATGTTCACAATTTTAGAGCTCTATGTTCATAATTTTATCATTATATGTTCATAATTGTAAGTTCATAATGTCAGAGCTCTGTGTTCATAATTCCATAACTTACATTCATAGTTCCATAACTGTACATTCATAATTCCGTAACTGTACATTCATAACTCCACAAACGAATAACGCCGTTAACGGCGAGACAAAATCAATTTTTTTTTTTGTTAAACTGGAATGCCGCGTTTTCCCTAAAAACAACGTCGTTTTGGACTCGTGTCCACAATGCATTGTGGACACGAGTCCAAAGCATAATTTGCGCCAAAAGTGAAATTAGGCCATCAAACTAAAAAAAAATAAATATAATTGGGTCCTTAAACCACACAAATTCATGCAATTAGGTCTAAAATGACATGTTTACATGATACTTTGCTGACGTGGAGGTTGCGATTTTTAAAAATAATTTTAAATAAAAAAGTTATATATATAAAAAAAGAACGGACGGAGACGAAATCGTCTCCGGCCGTCCTTAGTCTCCATGGCCAGAGAGACGAAGGTCCATGACTGGATGTAGTTTTTTTTTTTTTTTTTAAACAATGTAAAATGGTGGTAGAGACAATTTCTTATATTTATAAGAGATTTTTAACTTGACGTCAAAAATTATAAATACGTAATTAAATGAATTTGATATATTCTTAGTCATCCAGAAAAAAGAATCCTACCTCCTCTAGGTAGGATTTACTTTCCTTATGTTAGGAACAAGTATATTAGGTAGATTTTGATGATACATACCATACAGTTTGATAAATTTATATCCCCAATTATTTTTCATTTCTAGACTTGAATAAATTTTTCATGTAAATCTGAAAGGTCAACTTGTCGAATGAAATTTACTAACCAGAAAGTAAAAATACCGGAAAGTAAACCAAGTTTAATCAGTAACCTTAGAATAGTTAAGTCTTGGAAGGTTGTAACAGTAACTTCCGAAACGTCATTCTTCGAAAAGTCAAGGATCTATAAAGTTAAGATTCTAGAAGAGGAAGACTTTAAGATAGAAGAGTCAAGAACGAAGAATTGAAGACTAGAAGGCTAAATGGTCGAAAAGTGGAAGAACCAACCTTGACCAGAAAGAAAAACTAACCAAATAGTTAGTTGCTTTGAAAAGGTAAATGATTGACTTTCAAAGAAGTCAAGTACAAAAGGTTGCTAAGGTTTGATACGAAAAGTTAACTCCAAGAGGTGAAGAGTTACCTTCCGGATCAATTATTCAATCAGTCCTTGAACAAACAGTAAACAACCTCAAAAGTTAGAAGATGCAAGAAAAATGTTACCAAGGCTCAATAAATTATAGGTACACATCTTAAAGAAGATTAAGGTCAAGACAAAAAGTGCATATCAAAAAACAAGGAGCATACACAAAAAGTAAAGCAATGATTGGAAATCTAAACTAAAGCAACCTATCAAATAACCACTGGTCAATACAGTTGGGTAATAGACATTTGAATTTATTTCCTTCTAACGGAAAAATTCAAATGGGTCTATAAATACCTCCACGCAAATCAAAGGAGGTGATGGTCTTTTGAAAACACAACTATAAAAGTGCAAAACAAGCAAGCTTATAAGCAATAATCTAAAGTGACCATGTGAGAGAAAAGCAACAAACCAAGATCCAGATTCAGACTTTGGTGAAGAAAAAGAAGAAATCTCAAACGATGTTAATTAGTTGGAGAAGTGAACAATCACTGTGTTCAAACTGACATCCTCTACTGGATAGTAGGAAGAGACGGAATAACAATAAGTGTAATCTTGTGAAAAACTGGTCAGCTTTGTGTTCAAGGCTCAAGTGCTCTTTTATTATACTAAGTATCATAGTGCAATTCTTCTAGGAGTTTTAAGAGAAGAGTGGGGTAGGCTGAATTTTGGTCGAACCTCTATAAAATTCTCCACTCAATCTCTTTGCATACTGCATCTATTTTCAAACATAAATTCAACCAAACCTAATGTTTTAAAAAGAACAAATCATGTGCCGAATGTTAAGAGTCCCACATCTATAAAATAAGAGAAAACATATGGGTTTATAATAAGGTCATGAGTTAGATTAGCTAATTGGTTGAATTCAATCTTTTAGTGTGGTTTGGCCCATGCTCGCCTAATATATAGACCACGAACAACGGGATGAGTTGTCTACGGATCATCTGTATTTCTTTCCCTTATTATTGTTTCTCAAATTAAATTGTTTTTTTTTTTTGTATAAATAAAATTAATATATAAAAATATATCATTAAAAAATTCTAATTGAGATTTTTAAATGCTGTTCGTATTGATTTTTGGTTTATTTTTAATTAAATCTGTAGTTACATAAAATCTTTACTTTAATATAATGTATATGTAAATTAAAATTTGTTTTTACTAACATATAGAAGAAATATTATTAACTTAATACAGAGTAAATGAAAAAAGATTTGATGTATCAATAGTTTAGTGTTTATTACATGAAGATTTAGATTTATGATTATATAGAACAAATAGTATGAACATAGTACAACATATTGAATACTATTAAACATGACGCGTCTGTATTGAATGTTTATGTATATTAAGCTTTATTTTAAAAATATAGAATTAACATTATAGACTTACTATAGAGTAAATAGAAGTAGATATGATGTACCTGCAATTTAATTTTTATATACATTAAGGTTTATGTTTATGAACATATAAAACAAATTTTATCACTTGTACAAAAGAGAGAATACTCCTTATAAATTAGAGTTTTTGCCACCTTTATATATATATATATATATATATATATATATATATAAAGGTGATGTTTGGTTAAAATGTGTTCGATGACAGAATTGTAAATAAATAAATTAATAAGAAATCACAACCCTTTATAAACAAAGGGGACGTAGAAATGGATGAGTCCCTAACCTATGAAGAAAGACCGGTACGGATCCTCGACTATAAGACGAGAGACACAAGAAGGAAAAAGGTGAAACTAGTCAAAGTCTTGTGGTCCAAACATGACGTTATCTGACTCTCTTTAACCAAGGTAAAGACATTAAATTATAAGTGCATTTAGTAGACTTTACTTAAGTGGTTAGTTTTGACTAGTGCTATAAGTTGTGAAGTGTTAGTGTGAATTCAGAGATTCCTAAATTCCCTTGTATCCCAAGAAAAACTCTAAAGCCAAATCTTGAAATTCTTACCATCTTTTTGAAAGCTTTCGTTCTAAGAGAACCCGTCCGTTCATTCGAAGTTTCGAGGACGAAACTTCTTTTAAGGAGGGTAGAATGTGACAACCCAAAAATTTAATTTTATAAATTCGGTTTTAAGAAATTCCAAAATAGCCATTTTTCACTCTACCAAAATTTTTATGATGAGAACGGTGTTTGAATTAATTATTTTGAGCTACGTTTTAAATAAATTCAACACTGGGACTTATTCTATCTCTGAAATAATAAATTCTCGGGTACATTGCGTACCAAGTTTTTGACCCAAAAGTCAATCTGAGTGAAACCGGGAGAAATCTGAGAAACCTAAACCAAGTGGTTATCTAGAAAGTATTTTTGGAAAAATGTATTTTGACCCCCAAACTATTTAAAACTATATTTCTAGACCTTGGTCCATGTTGCATGGTATACCACAAGCTCCCATTCTCTTTTGTCTGATGCTTTTGCCCTCCACCAATCATGAGAGAATCTCCTAGGGTTTTACACCCTATAAAACCACACCTTTCCCTCATTGAATTCCTGATCTCATTCCCTTGCCTCTCCCAATCTTGTCTGCTAGAAGAAGAGAAAACCACACAGTAAGTTCCATCCTTCACCATTCATCTTCTCCATTGTTTTAGTGTCTTCTTTGCCTCCATTCTTTGAGTTCTTATAGGCTTAGATTGTTGTTGTTGTTTCGTGTGTTTAGGTGGTGAAGGAAGTGGTGGAAGTTGAGTGGAGGGGAGACTGAGATCCACACAAGAAGGAGAACAAGAAGAGGTATAACCCATGGACTCCCAACTAGCTTTATTTTGACTCTGTGAAGTCTAGATTGAAGTGAAAATGCTTAGAAACGCTAGATTATTGTTGTTGTTGAGCTATTAGTGATCTATTATTGATCTATGATTGTGTTGTTGAGGATTTGGGAGTGTTGGATTGCTCTTAGTTTGTTGCAGGTGAAGAAGAAACCCCTCTAGTGTATAAAGAGATTAACTGTATGTTTATTGATGTAAAGCACAACCTATATATAGTACATGGAGGAGTGAAGATAGAGGAAGTTACAACCAAATACAACTAGTCTATAGGAGCACAAATAGAATAAATAACAACTAAAGATATACTAGCCACATATTGGCTTAACACGCCCCCGCAAGATGGAGGATCCGTCGGAGACTCCAATCTTGGACCGAAGCTGAAGAAAGAGGCGACGGCCCAGTGACTTAGTAAGAAGATCGGCTAGTTGAGCTGAAGACGAAACGTGCCACACAACTAGTGTACCATTTGCAACTAAATCCTGGACAA